GAAAGATGGTCTATAAAGCGAGGCCACCCTCCTAAACACCATCGCTCCCAGTCACCCTCTTTGGCAGATATTAATTATTACCTGTAGGTCTAATATAAATGACTTACTTGTCTTTTTACTCACATCCTGTTTCCTCTATATTTGTCACTTTGAAATAGGATTCAAGATCAGGTTGATATGTGCACCCAGACCAGTTTAGCTATCAATGAGATCTGTTTTACGTTTCAGTTTTTGGTTTTAAAAGGAAAACATAACATTTCCGACAGCATCAAAACACAACATCCCCCCACCTATCCTTCGCCTCATGCTCTTAAAGCCACAATTACTCCATTCATGTAGAACTGCAGTAGTGAGTGTGTATGTGTGTGTGTGTGTGTGTGTGTGTGTATAAGAGACAGACATTGTTACCAGAAGTTTCTGGAGACCTCCTACCAGGAAATCCGCCTCTGCCTCATCCGTGTTTGTTGGTTTCAGGATTACAATAAAGCGTCTTAGAGACAATTTAACCAACACTTGTTCACAACTTACAAGTCATTAAACAGCAGGTCTAATTACCACAGTTGTAAGCATTAACGGTGTGCAACACAATGGTATTGATCCCATGTTGTAGCTCCTGATACCATTTGTACACGCCAACATTGCAAGTCACATATTGAAAAAGAGAAATGAAAGAAAAAGAGATTTCATTTCGTTTGCAGCACCTTTAAAACAGCAATCCTGGATGGTTTAACAGTGAGTATGAGGGCTCAACTCCCCATATATGCAAGTAGTGTATCTGCCCCTGCTGAAGTGTCTGTGAGCAATAGATGGATCAGTAGAAGCTGAGGCTGACCTGTGACCTGCATGTGAAGCTACTCACTGTTTAACATAAACACATTAATAAAAAATGCCTTATTTAAAAGGTGATATTATTGCACCGAAGCCCAGAAAATCTACTATGATTACTATCAACTCTGATGTTATGAATATGTAGTCTAGTAAATGGACCTGTACTGTGTATAGCGCCTTCTAGTCTTCTGACCCTCAAAAGCTGGCTTTTTACACTTACATTCACCCTTCACACACATTCACTCAGCGATGCCATAATCCATTCGATACAGAAACGAATGCATTGCACAACATCGGGAGCAATTCGGGGTTCAGTATCTTGACCAAGGATACTTTGACATATGGCGGCAGGAGAAGGGGATCGAACCAACAACCTTCCAAATTAGAGGACGACCCGCTCTTCCTCTGAGCCACAGCCACCCCTGTGTGCAGTTTAGAAATTCCTAACAGTAAAATATGAGTAAGAGTAAATCCTCTACATTCTGCTTATAAACCACAACTATAAACCAACAAAACGTGTGCGTTCTAGCATCCTATTGATCCATTACTAGTTAAAAAGCCCACTCTCTCCTTCAGATTGGTGGCTTTGGATTGCACTACAGCTCAGAGTTTTTATTTTATTTTGCTCATGCTACAAAATAAAATTCTATATGCATGCACAACTGGCCAGTGAAGGTCTCAGAATCTTTTATGGATTAAAGCACACTGTTTTATACTATTTAAACATGACACAGGGTGAGCACTGCTTTATGTTTTGGCCCAGGGGGATTCATGAAACCAAGGCAACCAAAGCTCTCAAACCAAACACTCTGCAGAGGACAAGCTTGTTTATTTTACTGCCTCCTTTCACGTGTGCTAATCCTCAGCTGGCTCACCTGTCCTCTCACTTCTCATAACAGGTAGCGAGAGAAGAGCCCTAGAACTCATCAGGATGGTTGATCTCCACTGCCACAGCTCTCCACACTAACCTCCACTGAACGCTTTGATGTCTGACACATTTCCTTTAGTCCTGTCCTCACTTTGAAAGTCCACATTCATCTTCAAAGAGGTTCACTCAAATACACAATTAGAGATGATATACATATGAACAACCCCTGAACTGCCTCATAGTCTGGTCGGTAATTCATCAACAACATTGTAACATAAACCAAGTGTACTAAGGTCTCATTAGATTAAGACTGCATTGATTTTTGCACGTTGTGCCTGGGGTCGTGTTTTTTTGTGAAACATAAACTCTGCTTCCATTTTATATAGGACGAGAGAATCAGGAAGAGAGAGGTCCACGTTCATGTAAGACACAATTTACAGTTAATAAATCTGATCTGAGTATAAAAACAAAACAAGAACAACGCTTAATACTACTGGTACAGTACTCACACCCTTCAGTACTTGGATTAATTACCTTTTTTATTCATGACTGAATTACAAATTAGAAGTTAAAAGTCTTACCTGGACTGATCTGGACCTGTTGGAGCGAATCCAGGGCCTCATCCTTTCCTCACACCCCTACTTCCTGAATAAGACTGAGACCTTCAGTGACCTGAACCACCGCAGATTAATAGGCTGATTCTAGACCAAGCAGGTGAGCGACACACAGGCAGATTCACTGTCATCCCCCAGAGAACAGAGGCAGAGAAAGAAAGACATTTAGCAAAAGAGCAGAGTGTTGCTGCTGAAACGGCGAGAGAATCGATGCTGGAAAGAACAACCAGAGCTGCGGTCCATATTTCCATGGATTACAGAGCCTGTTCTGAACACTGTGTTACAGAGTACACCAGCATCATTAATACCCCTGTCCGGTCAGCTGTGTATAAACCAATTAGAGGAGAAAAAAAAAACACTGGATGTGGAATTGTCGATACATCTAATGGGCTATGGAAAAGAGAAGAGGGGTCAATTTGTTTCAGTTGTTTTTTTTGCATTTGGGGTGTGTGTGTGCCATAGCTAGTGATTTATGCTGCTCTGAGCACGTCAGCAGGGATTGATCTAGCCAGTAGCTCATGCTGTCCCTGAGGGCATCAACACACAAACAAACACATATTTGTGCACTTTGATACATGTGAGGACTTTAATTGATATGATGTATGACGTGTTCCCTTTCTATAACGTAACTTGCTTACTAGCCTACACACCCAACACCACCCTTACCTAAACCCTTGTCTAATTTTAATTTTAACTCTAAAACCAGGAACTGAACCCTTTAAACACAGAGGAACTTTCTTTTTCGAAATGCTTTCACTGTTGAGGTCTACAACAGAAATGGTACAAGAGCCCAGTGCACACAGAAACATCCTGTTACTATACGTTTGCCAAGAACTAAACCACGATCCTACTTTTTTAAAGAACAGGTTTGAAGTCATCGTATTTAACATTTTTTGATCATACAAAGCTTCATAAATGGAACCATTCAGCTTTAGTTTTGATCTACTAACCCAAACACATTTTCAAATCTGAATTGAATCTAATCCTTACTTATTTACTTATTACATACTTATATAAATAAAATCAGTAAAGCTGCACTAGCCATTTATTATCCTGTTTTTTTAGGCCCCAAATGATTGCCTCATTGGTCTCTGGTTGTTGTGTCAATGGCAGAAACTATATTTTATTAAGATCTGAGGTGAAACTCAGTGAGCTATGGTGATGATCAAAGTATATATCAACCAAAATTAAATACTTTTCCAAAAACATCCTCACTCTAAAGGTATAAAAAACTCAACCTGGCTCTCATGAATACAAAAACAGTGTTATCATATCCTCTTTTTACAGGACGCTAGTTGTAACCAACCCTTATTATCACCTGAATCTGTAGCTCCCATCAGCTGCACAGAGATTTATAGTTTCAGCTCATTGTTTAGTTGTCTGGCCCACAGCTTTATAATTTTGGTTCACTCTCACCACTATAATGTTTGTTTGGTTTCAGTGAAAAAGCTCTAAAAACCCACTTTACACTAGCAGACAGTCACCGTTAGAGAGTAATGTCTAAATATTCAGATCTCAGTTGCAGGACGTTTAACTGTTCACCTTCTGCTAATGTGTCTAAATCTACAGGTATAAAATCAATACACACACACCTCCCCTGTCCTGTTCCCATTGTGGTTATCCAGTGAACGAGAGAAACAGCTGAATGAACAAACACATCAATCACAGTGGAATTTAATGTGGCACTGAAAACAACAGAGACAGAAAACAACCACTAAAAAAACAGATAAACAACCATAGAAACCATATAAAAATGGTTTTTAAACTAACTGAAATTACAGCCCCATGGCATACATTTTTTTTACTGCAACAAATATGCAGTGTGTCTCCTGAAGGGACGATATCAATCATTGATATCTATATTCTTTTTTTATATTGACCGTTAAATACCAACACTTTGGGTTGGTGGCATGAAGATAGTTCATTATGGAGTCTCATTCCCAGGTCCCAAAGCGTTGGTATTTGATGACCTGGGAATAAGACTCAACTATCTTTTTCAGCTCTGATTGGTTGTTTTCGTTCAGATTTGGTTGATTGTTGCAAATACCATAATGAGCACTAGGGGGAGCCAAAGGAATCTGTTACCAGCTGTAGCTTTAAATCAGGGGTGTCAAACTCTGGCCAAATTTGGCCCGCGTTGTAATTATATTTGGCCCGCG